GTACTATGAGTACTGGCCCGGGGTACCAGGGCACTACGAATACTGGCCCAGGATACCTGAACACTATGAGTACTGGTCTGGGGTACCAGAGCACTCCGTGTACTGGCATGGGATACCAAAGTACTATGAGTACTGGCCCGGGGTACCAGGGCACTACGAATACTGGCCCAGGATACCTGAACACTATGAGTACTGGTCTGGGGTACCAGAGCACTCCGTGTACTGGCATGGGATACCAAAGTACTATGAGTACTGGCCCAAGATACAAGAACACTGCAAGTAATTGCCGGGAATACAAGAGCACTACGAGTTCTGGCTCGGGATACCAGAGCACTGCAATACCTGGTCTGGGGTACCAGAGTAGTCATAGTACTACAATTATTGGCCCGGGGTACCAGAAAACTATGAGTATTGTCCTGGGATACAATAGCACTACGAGTACTGGCCTTGGGTTCCAGAACACTGAGAATAACGACAAATAAAATACGTCTTTACTAAACCGATGACACGGCACTTAGTCCATTGTACGATGGTTATTGAAATAAATCATTACGGTGATTGAAGAGATGGAGGAAGTGCAATATATCATAATCCCCTCCATACAATGGCGATTTTGTGGAACGACGACTTAAATGAATATAATTTGGATATGGATGAATTGTCCAGTTTGAAAATTATTATTACTGATATACTTATAAATGCGTCAAGTTCACGTACACGAACTGTACGCACTCACTATACAGTGAAGACACAAAATGTGAACACGTGACGTCTATGCGCGTGACAGGTGACTAAAAATTAAAAACAAAGATTTGTCAAAGGTCACTTTCGACTTGCGTGCTCGAAATGCATTATAGGTAGATTAGTAATAGAGCCTTTGTCGTCCTTGTTCGTAGTTCGTGAAGTACGATAATCCTCCAAGTACACATTTGATGGCAAACACTGAATGTTTATAGATGGCAAACACTGAATGTTTATAGAACCCTAAACTCTTGAAAATTAGTCGTTTTGTACACATTTTGGAAAACACCGTTAACGGTGCGCGTTATGTGCAAACTTTGAACGAGTCTACATCTGTATTGACTGAATATATCACGCGTGCTTAAAACCCGCAAACCTATGCACCAAAATTGGATTGAGGTTCCATAATGAATTATTACATTATTAAATAAAATATTGTTTTCAAACAACCGAGTAATTTATCAAGAGTTATTTATTATTGTGCTTGGCATCCAATGAATGATAGACAATTGAACACATACTGTACCACTGTGAATTTACCATTAATCGAACACTAACCAGTCAAAACTGTATCGAAATACGATGAAATAGGATTATGAATAATGGTCGTCCACTACCATACGTCATTGGGGAGGGGTGCATAGAAATGAGTTCAAAGTGAAATGAAATAATTGTGGATCATATAGAAAGTAGGGACAACTTAAATCTATTGTCGAGTCATGTGAAAATTCCTATCAAGTACAAAGCCTTGGATGTTTAAATGGTCGTGGTTTATAATAGGGATTTACTGTATACGGAATGACACAGTCCCTCTGTCTGTGCACGAACACAGATGACGTTTTACTTAGACTTTGGCATGCTGCCAGTTCAACTAAACACTGACAACTACAAGGGAACACAGGACTGCGACTTTTTTCAGACCAAAGTTTGGCTGACTTGTATTAGAATATGGGTTAGTATACCATGTTGGTATTAGTTATAGTAAACATAACGTGCATATCAGTGTTTAGTTTGTCACGATTTTGTGAGTATATATCGTGCCTATACATAAGCTAGTGAATGTCACGATCCATAAACTACCCTATATATCAAATTTCACGTAAATGCAAACAAGATTACTGCATCTTACTTCTTGTATTCGTTTGAAAAAGATAAACAATAGCCCTTTGTTCAACAAGTTATGTTCAGTTAGTCCCCTGGTGCTGGCGCTGTCATTCCTAAAATGTATGCGCTGAATCACAGTTTCTCAACAGAGAGGGGGGACTGAGTCCACTGTAACAAGTTTGCCTTGATTCGCATGGCGCTATCACTGCCGCAATTTTCGCTCCTTGTGCCCACTGTAATAAGTCAGTCTTGACACAGATGGCGCTGTCACCCTCTCGAGTTTGTCAATTGGATCTACAGTAATAAGTCAGCCGTAACTCAGACGGTGCTGTTCCCACCTGAGTTTACCCCCTGGCTCCTCTGTAATATATCACCATCTGTTTATGACTCCAAGACAATTTTTGCCCTCTTTACATTCCAGTCAATTTGACGAGGGCGCCAGACAGAGTACTAATCGTGCTCTTACAGTTCCAACAGAACTCTTGACGCGTAGATGAGATTGCACCATCAATTTTAAATCAGTGTTAGAAATGAATGTAGATAAAATCACACAAAGATCGAGAAAGACCGAACAGGAAAAGACATTTTCGCCGTCTTTGCAGTGTTCCATTATCTGTGTGGGTATGCATTTTTCACCCGTTATTCCAAGACAAAATTGAACCAAACCCGGGATCTTCTTCTGACTCGGGTGACGCCAACGTCAACTAACGAGAGTGCTGAGAATATTAAGTTAAACTACTGTATAAACAAACGATTTAGATTTCAACAACAACAACTTAGAGGGCGACATGAGTGCGAAACGTGAGGATCTAAGCAAGGCTGTGCATATAAACTCAGTTAGGACAGAATCAGACCATTTCCCCTTTTCAATTAATGCATGAACTCAATTTATACCTTTCAATACAGATAAAACAAAAACTCCTTACAATTATCCGGATTAACAAATTAACTGATCAACTATCCGGCGAACTGATAAGAGTTTTTGGAATATTATCAAAAATAAGACGTTTCGAAAAATATCAACATTTTAATTAGAAGATTGGATACATAATAAGAACACGTGGGGTAACGTTTACTACTTATACGTGTTTCATCGAATATACACAGATCTAAACACGTGTTGTACCAATATTGAAACTATAGTTATTAAACTATAACCCAGGTTATTCCGACTTTGTAGACAACATTTCCATTTTTCCAAGAAACATTTCCGACTTTCCTGGAAAGTTTTCTGAATTTCCATACAACATTACCAGACTTTTTTTTACATTTGCTCGTTTTCTTTTTCATACAACTTTTCTGATATTTCATCTTATTTATTCTTACTATTCATTCCAGGCAACCTTTCTGATTTTCATTCGTTCCACTATTCAGACATTCAACAAACCTTTTCCACTATCCAGACGACTTTTCGTCTGTTCATGCAAGTTATTCACTTTTTCGTAAAACGGTAATGGCTTTTCATTCACATTTTTGAAAGTTCCATGCAACTTTATTGACTTTAAGTCAATTGTTCGATTTAAATTTTCCGATCTTTTGAACTTTTCTATGTTTTCATGCAATTTGTCCGTCGTCCCAAGCATTTCATTTAACTTTTTAGACTGCCAATTATTTTTGCAGACAAAAATAAATTATTCTCCCTTTTCGACTTTCAATGTAAGTGTATTTACTATTCAGACAATTTGTGAATTTATTCATACATTTCTCACTTTCCCGACGATCTTTTCGTTTTTTCAGACAACCTTTACATTTCCATCTACATTTTTCAACATACCTGGGAACTCTTCATACGTTTGCAATATTTTCGACTGCCCAGACTTTTTGTTTTATTTTTTACGAAATTTAATATTTCCGTTTTTACATGTATTTTTCCCGGATTTCATTCAAATCGTCGATAATTCCAAAACAGCATTTACGATTGCCAACTATTATATCTACACATGTACTAGTATTTCATATATACAAATATTCCTCATATAATGTTCTATGCAATTTTTTTTCAATTATTCATGCTAACAATTCAGAAAAATATTCCGACTTTTCATTCAAATTTCGAATTCAACTTTCAACATAACATTACCGACTATTCTATGAACTTTCTGTGTGACTTCTCCGACTATCCTGACAAGTTCCGAATTTTCTATCGTTACATGTATTTCTCGACGTCCAGATAGCTTTTCTGGCTTTTTAGACAACGTTTTTATGCAACATTTCCGTGACTACATGCAAATGTTTCATCTTTCTGATTGTTTATGCAATTATTTTATTTTGCCTTTCTGTGAAACATTTCCGACGTTTGCAAACAATATTAAAATATTTTACTATGCGACGTTTGCCACTCGCAATCGACAATGTCAATTTCCTGTATAACTGTTCCCACTATATTCAACTTACGACTTCCCAGGCAATCTTTTCATGTATATTCCTACCTTTCTAGGAAATGTTTTCTTTCCATTCTTTCGATGGAACTTTATCGAATTCAATGCAGATTTTCCATCTTTACAAGCAACTTTCCGATTTTCTAGACATTTTTTCCAAACATATCATGGTATAATCTTCTCTGTCAGATGCGCCAGGCAACGTCGCCTGAAAAAAACGTGATGCTAGTTTCAAGTTTTAAGAGGACTAGCCACCCACCATCACCACCTTTTGTCTCGTGACCCATTTTTCTTTCTTGCATTATCTTACGCATCATACGAATCACATCGCATATATCGCCTTAAAGTTCAGACTTATTTGACAAGAGTAACTGCTTAATTAAAGAAAATACGCCAAGGCACGCTATATGATCCATGTATAGCCCAGATCTGCTGTTTAACAAGTCTGAACAGATAAAACGCCGTGATATGCTTTACAGCTGGGACCAGTACATCATTAAAGCCAGGATATGCTTACAACCGAAAGTAGACATTTTGGGTTATTTTCATCGTAATTACGAAGTATTTGCGTTACTTCAATACTATGCTACTGATCTTAGAAGGCGACGACTGAAACCTGACACAGCACAAGCGAGGTAATTGACAATGCTAGATCAAAGGTTGATTACATTGACCTCTAGGATATGCAGGGACGTTACGACTTTCAATTAATTGACACATTACACGGCCTATAGTATAGCCAGTATAATAATTACAGTTAGCAAAGACATTATAGCCAATAGAGTCAGTGTAGCTAGCATATTCAGTACAATAAATATAGCCAGTGTAGTCAGTGTAGACTGTATAGGCAATATAATCAGTATAGTCAGTGTAGCTAGCATATTCAGTACAATAAATATAGCCAGTATAGTCAGTATAGACTGTATAGACTGTATAGACAATATAGTCAGTATAGTCAGTGTAGCTAGCATATTCAGTACAATAAATATAGCCAGTATAGTCAGTGTAGACTGTATAGGCAATATAGTCAGTATAGTCAGTGTAGCTAGCATATTCAGTACAATAAATATAGCCAGTATAGTCAATATAGACTGTACAGGCAATATAGTCAGTATAGTCAGTGTAGACTGTATAGGCAATATAATCAGTATAGTCAGTGTAGCTAGCATATTCAGTACAATAAATATAGCCAGTATAGTCAGTATAGACTGTATAGACTGTATAGACAATATAGTCAGTATAGTCAGTGTAGCTACCAT